AGTATCTCATTCTTTTGCCCACATGGAATGGGTATGTGAAGATCCACTTTATAAACAGAAGACAGTAGGCTTAAAAGATATTATATATGAAAGAATCATCATATAACTGGCAGATGAAGAAGCTAGAATTTAATATGTTTATAATGTAATCTAGTATTTAATATAGATATGTTGTTGTTTTGAAAGTTTTTTTGTTTTTTGGGGGGGTAGGGAGGACTCCAGAGAATGGAGCCCAGGGGCCTTTCCCACTTAACTACACCACAGTCTTTTTTAATTTTCAATTTGAGATAGAGTCTTGCTATATTGCTGAGGCTAGCCTTGAACTTGCAATCCTCCTGCCTCAGCCTCCCCAGCAGCTGGGATTATAGGCATGTGCCACTGCAGTTGGCAACAGAGGTTTTTCTAACCTATAATTCTTTCATAGCTAGTGAATGCCTCCCTCAAACCACAGATGTGAAAAAGAAGGGTGAGGGGGGAACAGAATTTATACAAGTTATCTCATTTAAACTTCAAAACAATCCAAATATTAATATTATCAGCTCCTCTTCACAAATGAGGAAAGAGAGGTAAGTGACCTGCCAAAGTCCACAATGCTGGTGAGCACGAAACTCAAACTATGCTGTACCTGAGCTTGTTGGAGAAATGTCTGTGCTTATGTTCATCACACTGTATTATAATGTGTCTATAGACTTCAGCTGACCAGCCTGAGGACCTGCACCACGCCAGGCACTCCACACACACTCCAGCATCTCATTTGTACCACTCTTTCTCGTGATGTAACTTATGTGTGGATACGTGTGTGTGTGTGTGTGTGTGTGTGCGCGTGTGTGTGGATATAACACATATACATATGGAGAGAATATATACAAAAGTATTACAAATGTTCTACACATATTAGATAGATGTTAGGAGTGGCAGTGGATGGTACTTTCTATTCTCCGTTTTCCAATGAAGAAATTCAAGCACACAAGAGATGATTAATTGATTTGAGCACGTGCATACAGCTCTATCAATGTCTGAACTGGAAGTTCTGTCTGACTCTAAAGTCCATATGTCTGGATAAAAGTGAATAATTAATGGAATCAAATTATGGGAGCATTTAATACTAAATTGATTCTAAGTAGCAAAAAAAAGAATTATGTTTCTACTTCTAAGAGCCTGAAGACACAACAGTCAAAGAAATTAATCCTGTTCCTCCTGCTTTCCCATGATAAGCTGATTCCATGCAAATAGTACCTTCAAAGCTTTTGTTTGTTTGTTTCTCTTTTAAAAGATACTACAAAAGAACAGAGAAAGGATAGTTCTTTGTGTGGTAGTTGCAGGAGATGGCAAATGGCAAGAAAGAGACCAAAGTCATGGGCAGGTCCATTTTAGAGAAAAAATTAAAATTTCCAAGTATCTCTGGCCTTGCTTAGATTTAGATTGGAGAGTGTTAAATAACATCAACACTTTGCAAGATCCTGTCTCAAAATAAAATAAAAAATGATTGGGGATGTAACTCAGAGACAGTACCACTGAGTTCAATCCCCAGAATAAAAAAAAAAAAAGACTGACATCTATAACAAGGGCTGGTAAATTACTGCCCAGGAACCAAATCTGACCCATCACCTATTTTTGTATAGCACACAAGCTAAGAATGATTTTCACATTTATACGCAGTTGGAGGGGAAAAAAACAAACAGAAGAACACATTTCCTGACACATAAAACTATAGTAAAGGTTTACCAACTCCTGATTCCTTGAATTTTATAGATAAGCAGAAAATCTTTGATTTTGCATACAGGTGGCTTTTAGTTAATTAAAATTAAATGATATTGATAAATATTATACACTTTGTATTATGGTCTGAATTGCCTCCAGCCAAACAAAACAAAATGTTGAAGTACTAATTCCAAGTTAAAAAAAAAATTAAATGAGAAGTGGTATTATCTATTGTGATGGTTATTTTCCTTTTAAACCTATCCTCACCTCTCCATCCATCCCCATCTCTCCTTGAACCTGTTCTGAACCCTGGGGGCTAACCTTTCTTAATTGAGGGGATACATGGGATTGAACCCAGGGGCACACCACTGAGCCACATCCCCAGGCCTTTTCATTTGAGACAAGGTTTCACTAAGTTGTTTAGGGCCTCACTAAGTTGCTGTGGCTGGCCTTGAACTTGCAATCCTCCTGCCTCAGCCTCCCAAGTCAATGCAATTACAGGCATGTGTGCCACCATGCCCAACTAAGGGGGTGGGGGAGAAGACCTTTTAAGAACTACATTTCCCAAGCCTCCATATTCTTGAAAATGTTAGTTGGTTAACTAAAGGAAGACACCATAATTCTGGTGGTTTCATTCTTCAATGGTCTTAATTTTCTATCAGGCAGTCCCTCATCCCAGACTCCACCCCTCCACCAAGGGAAGACTGGATTTCCCTTGGTACTTTAGGCCTAGGATGGATGTCTTCCTGCTGTGGCTGTGTCTGAGTTCCTCACTACCCCTTGTTGGTTCCCTTCACCCTGTTCGTACTCTATAAAGGTCCCTTCATGAAAGTCTGTGAATTCCCAAGTTGCCATGTCCTCTGAGTATGCTCTCTCTATCCAGCTAGGACCCGGACTGATAACATCCATCATGCAGAACAACACAGGCCATTAAGGTCCAGCCAGGGACCAAAGATACTGAGCACAAGACAAGGTGACTGAGTGGGGGCCTGGGGGCAGTCAGAGAGACTACAGGCAGTGAAGAACAGGGCTCTCCAGGCTCTTCTGTGCACTACTGTGCAAGTGATTCACTACAGAATTGCCTTGTAACTAGTCCTGAGCTTTCTGGCATCAGGGACTGTGTTTTCACTCAGAATGATCAATAAGCATTTAAGGTATTCATTGAAGGGATGGGCATGGTACTCCATGCCTATAATACCAGCTAAAGCAAGAGGATCACAAATTCAAGGTCAGCCTAGACAACTCAATGAGATTCTGTCTCAAGTAAAATAAAAAAAGGTTGGGGGTGTAGCTCTGTGGTAGAGTAATTGCCTGACATACCCAAAGCCCTGGGTTCAATACCAGTAAATTAGGGATATCCAGATGTAGTTAGCATCAAGATGGGAACCAATCTACAGTCAGATTAGATCTGAGTCAGAAGGTGAAACAGGTAAATGAGTTTAAGTTAGTAGTTAGACACACAGGCCACACTTTCTGGGTTCACATTCTGGTTTTTCCACTTACTTACCATTCTCTACATCTGTTCTCTTACCTGTAAAGTAAGAATAGGAACAGTTCCTCTCATGCAATATGACTGCTATGAGGATTAAAAGAATTGGTTTATGTAAAATATTTAGAACAATACATGGCAGAGAGGAAGCACTAAAAAATGTTAGTAACTATCATGATTATATTTGGTTAAAAGTAAGAAAGCAACAGGTAAGGGCAAATCTTTGTTAACAAATATTTAGCTAATGAGAAGGAGGAGGATAGGAATTTTCTCCCATTAAACTTTTTAAAATCTCTCCCAAAATTAGAATATATAAAGATTGTATATAAACCAGCCAACATGAATAACATATCTCCAACAAAACATTTTTAAAAAGTAAAGAATTTTATGTAAACTTTACACTAACTTAGACCAAGAGCATAGGCTCCAAATTCTGTTACCTAAAGCAATGTCAAGGCAAGAAACAGCTATGCAAAAAGCCGGGGGGTGGGGGGGAACATACACAAATACCCATGATTCCGCCTATAATCCTAGCAGCTTGGGAGGCTGAGGCAGAAGGATCACGAGTTCAAAGCCAGCCTCAGCAACTTATCAAGGTCCTAAGCAACTCAGCAAGACCCTGTCTCTAAATAAAATACAAAAAAGGGCTGGGGATGTGGCTCAGTGGTTAAGTGCCCCTGGGTTCAATCCCTGGTTTAAAAAAACAAAACAAAACATACCCAGGATTCCATCCAGAAAGAGCAGCAGCAACACCCCAAACTGTGTGGTGAAATGTAGGGAGTAATAAGCCAACTTCAGGCCCAGGTAAAGAATTTGGAATTCATTTTGAATGTGATGAGAAGCCACTGGAAGATGAAGGAAGAGAATGACATGATCTGATTACAGTTAAAGATCACTTTGCAGCTGTGCAGAAAATGGGTGGGCAAGAAAGAAGCACTGGTGGAAACAGGAAGTCCAGCTATGGAAGTAAGCACTGAGGCTCATATGAGAACCGTGGGTAATCTAAAACAGTGAAAGACGTTTTGTTTGGAATGTTTTATTCTTCTGTTGGAACATAGG